TGTTCAAAAATTTCACACCTTTCTTTCTCCTTGTCTAGAAAAAAACACTTACCATCATGTCCTGTCAGTTTAAACTGCTTTCACACAATTTTTTTCTGAGCTTTTCCTTACTCCTAGCCTTTAAATATCTGTCTTTTCAGAATCTGTTTTGTCACTTGATATGTGTATTCTCACTTTTGAAAATCGTAGTTTTCATAGAATAATAGATTTTAAGTATACTGCCACCACCATGTCACAATGTACATATATTCAAAGAATTATTTTATATATAAGTATATATAGCTTATTAGTCAATTTAAAAAGTAATTTAAAAATGGTTCCTAACCTATACCACAATTCCTAAAATCTGACTTACTTTCTCACTATTGGATGCCCTTTAACACTCAAAATTATTCAAATGTCTCATATTTAATTATTATGAAGGTCATTGTGCCTAGAAGCTCACCCAAAGCCTTATGCAGTCAGGAGGGCAGGTCTCTAGAGTTTGTGATTGATTCACAGTCCCAGGCTGGGATTATGGATGTGGGTGTCACAGCTGCCCGGGGACGTGTAGCCTGCACACACTATCAGGTGAGGGAAAGAGGCTTGTGCCTCTTATTCCCTTTGGCTCATGTTGATTTTGCTGTTTTCTGCTCCTCTGCCAGGCCACCCTGCCTTGACGCCAGCTGATTATGAACTGAAACCTCCACAAACTGTAGCTAACTAAACCTTTCCTTCCTTAGTTTTGGATTTAGATATTTTGTCTCAGCAATGAGAGAAAAGTAATCAACACAAATGTGCAAAACTTCTGTTTCTCTGAAATCCACATTGTTGAACTCAACGTTGAAACCAACCATCATCTTTCGCCTTTCCCAAAATTCAGTATTTTCAGTCACCAAAAGCCATTAATTTCATCTTCTATACATCTTGCGTTTCATGCCTCCCATGTAACCTACTTCAGTTCTGCTTTATCAATTTTCAGTGTGTTCAGGAATAGTCTCCTATTTTATATTGCTATTCACATCGTTACATAAATGCTATTTCTACTTAATTTCCTGACAACAAAAATGCATACTTGCCGTAGACAGTTCATAAATAAAAATGAATAAATACAATCTATATTGTAGCTGTTTTCAAGGTGTAACCAGTCTAATATTTCAGTGCATACAATTTCATTTTTTTCCACGTAAAATATCTTTAAATACAACTAATAGCTTAAGTGGTGGTTTGGAAACCTTTTCAACCTTAATAGTACCTTTAAGGTATGTTTTATATCAAAGTATATTTAAATATAATTGGTAAATATTATGCCATATTTTATTATCATTAGTTTGAAATATTACTAGAGTTGTAATTCTTTTCCAAGTTCCCTTTTCTTACTATTAATTATCATTTATACCAAATACTTGTATATCTAACTCTGTGTAACTATTTTTTTAGAAATGTTCCTTGAAGCAGAATTACTAAAGTAGACTTTATACATATTATAAAGGTTATTGAAATACTTTTGACAAAATTCCTTTTAGTGAATTCTCTATCAATTTATAATCCTAGCAGTTGTTTGTAGTTTGCCCGTATTTTTATTAAGTTCATCATAAGGAATAGTTAGATTAGCAAAAATTATGTCTCATTGTTTTAACCTAGTATTTGTTATTAGGTTAAACCCTAATGTTTCTTTTCTATTTTAGTTACTATTCACATGAATTATCCTACTTTTTTCTGTGGATAGCTATCTTTGAAAACAAAATTTTAAGGACATTTTCTATATTATAAAGTTAATAAGATTTTATCACATATTACTGATTTCTTTGCACGGTATTTATGTTTCAATGAGTTGATCTTTGACTTTTCTTTGTACTATTTTCTTGTTGTGATCCATAATCTCTTTGTTTGATTTAAAGGCAATTAGTATCAGTTTTGGAAATTGGTATATGATATTAATAGTACCCTTATGGTAGTGTATTATAATGACTGATTATTACCTGGTGAGGAAGAAGGCAAGGATTATACATAAATCATCTTTGCATTCTCTGCAACTGAACAAACATTTTTCTCATATGTGGTTCTCAACAGGTTTTGAATTAGACTATTCTGATCTCCATCCTTGCTAACACATGCAAAGTTACACATATTTTCATCCAGTGATCCAACATATATCCCATTCAAGTACTATGTCCTATATCTTATTCAAGTACTCTTGAATAATGTTTCTTACACAGGAAGGTGATCAAGAGGTTGTGTGAAGAAGAATGGAGAGAAAGGGAATGAACAAGATTTAGATGTATTCTGCCATTTACCAACTAAGTACAAGGATTGTTAACATTACGTACTGCAAACAAATACTAACAATAAAGTATTCAGGACTCTGAAGGTAGTTAAATCTCAGTTGGAAATGAAGTTTTATGGATTCTTGGATCGTCACTTTGAACCAAGCCTCAAATTTCATAATCTCTAAAACAGGAGTTATGATAGTATTTTATTACAAGATTTAGATTCTACCAAGTATGACATAAGGGAACAATTAGTCCTTAATAAATGGCAATTACTGAGACCTTAGCTAGAGAAATACTCTATTACTTGTGTTCCTTTGTAGAAAAAACTTCATGGGGGAGATATTCAAATCTTTAATACACTGTTTTTACACTAATTATGTGGAAATAAATTGAAAAGTAAAATAAATGATTAACATATATAATCCTTTAGATATTCAATAGAGCCATATTAGTCTGTTTATTAAAATAAAGTAATGATATAGATAAACTTTTACTCTTAAACAGTAAGAAAGCACTTATTTATACAAATTCTTTAGTAATTCTTAAGGAATTAATGGTTATAACTAACCTATAGTAGTACTCAACAAATTTCTAATCTTAATAAAACACAGTTAAATGATGATGCAACAGAATTAAATGATGATTAAAACATTTATTAAAAATCTGTGTTCTACTTCATGGAAATCACATAAGAAATAAGAGTAAGATGATAATTTGTACATTTTTTAAGTCAAAAATTAAGCTACTTATGATTTACTCATTTAAAATTGCACTTAAACCAAAGTCTATCATAAAATATCACCATATACTTTTCCAAATTTCAATCTTTTTCAAAAAATACTGCATTCTGGATGAAATTTCTTACTGCCAAAATTTAATGCAAATATTTGATGTTTTTTCTTATTTGCGTCTAATGTTTTTTCTTATTTGCGTCTAATCAAAGTCCCGTTGATAGATTGCACATAAAAAAAGTTGAACTTTAATGAATAACTAGTATAAGATTAAATTTACTTAAATATTTTTCCTGGGCTCTCCAAAACCTTATGTTGGGTGAAGGTAACAACTTACTCACTGATTATGTTAATAGGCTCCAATATAACTGAAAAAGAGGGATGCCTTCGAGCTTAGAGCAATGAAACCTCTAGAATTTCATATAAATACATATCATTATTTTGTTTTCACTGGCAAAACAAAAACAAAAATAATCTTTAAAGTCATTCATAGCTAACTGTATAATAAAATACTAGATTCAATGTTAAACATATCAATATATTCACCTAATTTTTCACAAGATATTTCCAAATATATTTATGGGCAAAAATTCCAGAGACTGTTGTCAATCATTGGACGTTTGTAAAAGTGAAAAGAAGAAATATAAAGATAATTCACTTTATTGAACATTTTAATATTTAATATTTTGTTCTTTAGACTAAAACTAAACATTTTACTATTTAATATTTTACTCTTTAGAATAAAACTACAAAATAGCAGCAGAGGAATATTAATTTTCTTAAGATTGTAGTTTATTTTCAAGCTAGACTCTCTTGAATATCAAGCAAATCTTTTATTGTGGAAAACTATAGTGTAAGTTTTCTATCAACTAATTATTTGAAGCCAATATTCATGATAATAGATCTTTTAAATTATTTCATTGAATTGCTTTAAAAAGTAGATGTCTTACAATTTACTATTTAATAAAAATATTAAAACATTAAGTTTTAAATTTATGTGATTCTTTATTTTTTTATTTAAAGAAAGACAAAACAAAATAAAAAAGGGGCAGAAATAATACATATTTCCAAAGGAAAAAATAGACAGTAATAAATCACTAGCTGATGTATACATATTGTCTCCCTATAAGTAGTTGTTCAAGGTACACAAGTGGAACATATATAAATGGGATTTCAACCAGGGAATCTGCAAAAAGTTCTGTTCAACTATCCAACAAAAACTAAGTATTATGGCTATCAATCTTATACACTTAGACATGTATGCATTTATCCATATCTTCTTTTACGTTAAGACCTAACACAGCTTATTAGATTAAAATCCTTCTGAACAAAGATTAATAATATTGCTGGGTTTCACACCATTGCACTCTGGAATCAGGATTGGGTACTTCAGTGTCACTTTCCTTCCTTCAAAGTTTTTGTTCATCATGTGTCATCAGATGAGTTCTTTATGTGGTTCTTTAAATTAGCATTTAATTACCATTCAAATATTATATGAAACAAAAAAATTACTGATTACAAAAGAATTCACTTTATTAACTGTGATTTATCCTAAATAATTTTATTACAAGATGAGTGACCTGGTTTTCCTGGTCTATAGTGATTTTAAAACTGGACTACTATATATCGAGAGACACCTTGATCCTGGGTAAACTGTGATGATTAATTATCACTCTCTCACAGGTTAAATGTTTACAGCCATAACTGCACATAGTAATAATAAAACCAGGATGACTGTTAATGCAATAGTTTAATTCATCACAGTGGAGGCAAAGTGGATTTTATTGTGTCATTTAGAGAAATTTAATATTGAGGGCTTGGGATGTAGCTAAGTGGTAGAGCTTACCCTGGCATGCATAAATCCCTGGCTTTGATTCCTTACATTCTCATCCCGCCCACCTCCCTGGAAAAATAAAGGAGTATGTTTCGATAAAGTCTGCTAAAATAAAATAAAACAAACTTGCTACTTAACAAAGATTCTAATAATGATCAAAATTTACCTTAATAGCATACTTACTTCTGTAAAAATTCTTCAGAGCCACATATATTGAGAAGATGATCATTGGAGCAGAGCTTTTCATTTGTACATAGATGTAGAATTTCTGTAATTAAGTCTTTGACAAGATAATTAGCTAAAAACAAACATAAAGAACAAAAGTCAGAAGGAATACTGAGCAGGGAGCTTTTTAAGCACCAATAGTGATAAGACCATTGCAAAGTGTTCTAACTGTTCAGCTCCATCAACCAGAATTAAAATGAGAGACACCACATTCTTCTGGTTAGATTTCAAGATATTTTTGAAAAATGTCATTTGCAATTCTTTGGTTAGTTGTTTCCATAAAATGTAATGAAGTTGGGTATTGTGCTCCTCACGTTCAAACCCTTGGTACTTTTTTGCTCTTCATAAAAGATAATCTGCTGACATGACATTAGGACAATTCTACAGCAACTAACATTTCATTCTCAATGGTCTGCCTCTAGGACCTGAAAATAATTGCAGATATCACCTCTTTTTGATTGGTGTACATGGAAAAGTTATTTCCTCATTTAGATCCAGCTTCCTTATATGTTTAAAAGTTTGTGATAGCATGGTTTAGTTCTTCAGGAATTTTTTTTTTATTTTATTTAAGAGGAAAAGGAGAAAAACACAAAACAAAACAAAGCGGTGTAAGGGTACACGTAATACAGAACTACAAAAAAAAAATAACAGTAAGAAATCACCTGTTAATAGATTACATATTATCATCTTGAAAATAGTTGCTCAAATCACAGTATCAAAGAATACAAAGTGGACATTCAAACAGGGAGACTGCAAACAGCTGTGTTCAATGATCCAAAAACATTGATATAGTCAGCTATTTAACACCCCTAAACACATTTGCTGTTATATCCGTTAGAGCTCTTTTTTTTCCCCTCTCTTTTTTACAACAAAATTTACACATCTTGGATTTTATTACTCCTTAGTGCTTATTACTTTCTTTGGGGGGGGGGAAGAATACAGTCAAATATGGCAAAACAAAGCTGTCAGTCAAAACCAAGGATAGACATAGCACATGGTGTAGAACAGAGTACAAGGTTATCAACAATGGTTATCAACGTTGTCTCTTGTTTCCTTAAAAAAAATTGTCTATCTCATTAGATATTATAAAGTTGGACAAAACAGTAGAGAACAAGACCAATAAAACTTAGGCATTATAAACATTACAGGACTTCCAAAGGAGACAATAGTCAATCCAGAAAGGGCATCTTAGTGAATCTTATTGCCTTCAAAGTAGTTGCCTATATCCTCAAACTTGATACTATCATACAGAATGGAACAGAGTCTAATCAGTCAAAACAAGATCATGGGAGTATTACAGGACTTCAAAACAAGTTAATAGGATATCAAAAAGAGTTACTATTATATATTCTAATTTTTAAAATTTTTTCCCTTAATTAAGACAAACATAAGAAATAACTAAATAATTGTTTTTAAAGAATAAGGGGGAGATTGAGATAAAACAGGACATAACAATATAACAATAGAGGTCAAAGCATGACTGTTTCAGCAACCTAGTACTTCACCACCATATAACCCGACTTAATAGTAGTTACCATAGTGTCTGTCTTTTTCCTTGAAATATTTGGATTAAACTTCATATACTCTAGCTTCAAATATTTCCATATCAAGAAGCCCAGAATAAAGCCTTTCTAATTAATGAGTGAAAACTTTATAAGGCTTCAAGGCCACATAATGGGGAATCATGATTACCACATATTTTTATATATTTGAATCATTACTTACATTAGGGAAACTATTCGGTATTCACACATGCGAGATTGATTTATTTCACTTATGAGTATGGTCTCAAGTTGCGCCCATTTATTGATAAATATCTCAATGTGATCCTTCTTTATAGCTGAATAATACTCCATTGTATAGAACTACCACAACTTTTTTATCCATTCCTCAGTTGATGGACACTTGGGTTGTTTCCAAGATCTGGCGATTACAAATTGTGCTGCTATAAACATAGGTGCACATATATCACTGTGATATGATGCTTTCAGTTCTTCTGGGAATATGCCTAGAAGTGGAATAGCTGGAATAAATGGGATTTCCAATCCCAACTTTTTGAGAAATCTCCAGACAGATCTCCACAAAGGCTGTACCAGTCTACACTCCCAACAACAGTGCAGGAGAGTTCCTTTTTCCCCACAGCCTCTCCAGCATTTGTTGTTGGTTTTCTTGATCCTGGCCATTCTTTCAGGAGTGAGATGGTATCTCAGTGTGGTTTTAATTTGCATTTCTCTAATGACCAATGATGATGAGCATTTTTTCATGTATTTATTTGCCATTTGCATTTCTTCATCTGAGAATTGCGTATTCATCTCAGATGCCCATTTTTGGATCGGATCTTTGAATTTTGGGGATATGAGTTTTTTTAATTCTTTATATGTTTTAGACAAGAGTCCCTTGTCTGGGACAGAGTTCACTAAAATCTTTTCCCAGTTTGTGGGTTTTCTTTTCACTATGCTGGAGATTTCTTTTGACATGCAGAAACTTTTTAATAAGAAGTGGTCCCAGTTATTGATTCTGGGAAGTATTTCCTGTGCGGTTTGAGTCCTGTTCATGAATTCTTTACCTACTCCTATGTCTCCAAGGTTTCTACCTAATTTGTCTTCCAATAGATTTAGTGTTTCTGTTTTAATATTCAGATCTTTGACCCATTTAGATTTTAATTTAGTACATGATGATAGACATGGGTCTAGCTTTAGTTTTTGGCAAATGGAGAGCCAGTTTTTCCAGCACCATTTATTAAAGAGACTGTCGTTCTCCCAGTGAACCTGCTTGGCTCCTTTGTCAAAGATAAGGTGGTTGAGTGTGTTTGCAGTTGTGGTTGTATCTTCTAATCTATTCCATTGATCTTCGGTTCTGTTTTGATTCCAATACCATGTTGATTTTACTACTGTTGCTTTGTAGTATAACTTCAAGTCAGGGATTGTGATGCCTCCTGCTTTGTCTTTGCTGCTTAGACTTGCTTTTGCAATTCTAGGTCTCTTCTGGTTCCAGATGAAATTTAGGAGTGATTTCTCTAGATCTATAAGGTATGTTGATGGTATTTTTATTGGGATTGCATTGAATCTGTATAACAGTTTTGGGAGAATGGCCACTTTCACAATGTTTGTTCTTCCTATCCATGAGCAAGGGATGTCTTTCCATTTTCTGAGATCATCTTCAATTTCCTTTTTCAGTGTATTATAATTTTCACTGTATAAGTCTTTCACTTCTTTCATAAGAGTAATTCCTAAATATTTCATTTTTTTGGTTGCTAATGTGAATAGTCCAGTTTCTCTTATTTCCCTCTCTGTGATTTTGTTGTTCATGTATAGGAATGCTATTGATTTCTGAGTATTGATTTTGTATCCAGCCACATTACTGAATTTATTTATTGTATCTAAGAGTCTTTCAATGGAGTTTAGGGGGTCTTCTATGTAGAGTATCATGTCATCTGCAAACAATGATAACTTAACTTCTTCTTTTCCTATCTTTACCCCTTTTATTTCTCTTTCTTGCCTAATTGCTCTGGCTAGTACTTCCAGTACTATATTAAATAGGAGTGGTGATAAAGGACATCCTTGTCTTGTGCCCGATTTTAAAGTAAAGGCTTTCAATTTTTGGCCATTTAGTATGATGCTGGCTGTTGGTTTGTCATAAATGGCCTTTATTATATTGAGGTAAAGACCATTTATTCCAATTTTCTGTAAAGTTCTTATCATGAATAAGTGTTGGACCTTATCAAAGGCTTTTTCTGCATCTATAGAAATGATCATGTGATTCTTATTTTTGGCTTTATTGATATGGTGGATTACATTTATTGATTTGTGTATGTTGAACCATCCTTGCATTCCTGGGATGAATCCCACTTGGTCATGGTGTATAATCTTCTTGATGATTTGCTGGATCCTATTTGCCAATATTTTATTGAGGATTTTTGCGTCTGTGTTCATTAGGGGGATCGGTCTATAGTTCTCTTTTATAGTTGGGTCTTTCTCAGGTTTTGGTACTAGAGTAATATTTGCTTCCAGGAATGACTTAGGAAGGATTGCTTCCCTTTCAATTTCATTGAATTGTTTGAGGAGTGTCGGCATTAGGTCTTCTTTGTATTTCTTGTAGAATTCTGCAGTGAATCCATCTGGGCCTGGGCTCTTGGTGGGTAAGGACTTAATTACATTTTCAATTTCATTAGCAGAGATTGGGTTATTCAACAGTTTTACATCCTCTTGATCTAGCTTTGGCACTTCATATGCTTCTAAGAATCTGTCTATTTCTTCTGTGTTATCAAACTTTTGAGAGTAGAGGTTTTCAAAATAGGTGTTGATGATCTTCTGTATTTCTCTGAGCGTGCACAAAATTCCCTACTTTTTTACTAAACCTTCTTTAATTATGATCTTTATTACTACATTCTAATTCCATCAAACTCATTTATATATATATATATATATATATATATATATATATATATATTTTCTCTTTTTATTGGTACCGGGGATCGAACTCAGGACCTCCTGCTTGCAAGGCAGGCACTTATGCCACTGAGCTAAAGCCCCAGCCCCTATCAAACTCATTTTTAAAAAATTACATTTTAAATATCCTCTACTTTAAAGATATTTTCTTTTAAATATTATCTGTTCTGTTTACCCTTCTCCAAAAATCTCCCCCAATCAGTCCACCCCTCTAAAATACTTTCCTTTTATAATTTTTTATCTCGCAACTTCCTTAAAGAAAAGACTTCTGCTAACACTTCTCAATGACTGTTCAATTCTTGCAAGTTGACTTCTACCTCCAACCCTTTTCAGGTCTCAAATGACTTCTGAATAGAGTTTAACTGTGAGTCATCTTTGTCTAGAAAGTAGTTGAAAGTAAAGATAATGGATTTAATGTAACTTTGTGATTGGAAATAAGGAATCTCTGGGCTTCCTGGTGCATTTCTGTAATTCTATTACTCAGAACGCTGATGCAGGAGGATTGCTGTGAGTTCTCGGCCAGCCTAAGTTACATAGTGAGTTCAAGGCCAGTCTGTCCTACATAAGAGATATTGTCTCAATAAATAAATAAATAAATAAATAACACTTTACTTTCACTAAAATGGTAGTTGAAGAATATAAAGCAGAGCATTTCTTGTTAAAAAACATTTCCCCCCCAAATACTCCATTTTGTGAATCTTGCAGACTTTCCTGTGAATGAAAACTCTTCATCTCTATATTTTATCAAAATGTCATTGTTTATTTTCTAGCACTGGCTTTATCATTCACTGAAGTCATTTTAATGCCTCTTTCATGCTTTTGTAAACATTTTAATACTAAGAAATCAGTGATGTAAATTCACAGAACATCACAATTTTGGTGAACAGATTAAAGTGAAAACATTTGAAATATTATCTGAACTGTCCTTATCTGACTAAAGCAATGTATGCCAAAAATACAGCTGCCATTGATCCTTTTCTGAGGGAATTTTCTGGAAATTCCATAAAGGAGACAGATTGCCCATTCATTAGTATGAAAAACCCAATGGAACCATTTGTAGGTCCTACTGAAGTCCTTTTTGTTGTTGTTAATTGACATTCAAATATTTGCCTCTGGATATTGAGTGATTCATTGTGATGACTTCCTTGTACATGTGAACATAGTCTTTTTCCCCCTTTTTGACTACTGTCAGATAATCCAAAGATCATTTTCTCTACTCTCAACCGTTCAAATCGAAGTAAAGGAAAAATTTTTCTGAAAACTATGGCCGATACCGTGCTATGTATTTTCATGAATGTCTTTTTCCTTTTCTGTGTCATCTACTTCTATTTTGTTTCCTCTTGCACTTCTTCGTATTTAAAATCTTCTGCACCACTTTGTAACTCTAATACTAAACACAGTGGTTTAATCACTTGGCTGAAACATCTCATAAATGGAAAAAATTGCTTTGGCAAAAGTGATCTCTCTAGTTCCTAATTATTCACTCTCCATCAGCTGAAGCCAACATGACCCAGATCTGTGACTATACTGATCAGGATTCAGCATTATCAATTTTGGCTGGTCAATCGGTTATCCTGCTTTTAGAAATTAGGATTTGGATCCAGAGAAGTTTAGCAGTCTTTAGATGGCTGACCAGTGAGCACATGTGCTTGTGAGGTTGGGTACTTGTTTTGGAGGAGCAAGAGAATGAATTAGCAGAGAGTAAGAAAGAAATCTATGGGAAGCAATTACACAGAGATGAACTCAGGGGCATAAAGAAATGTGAGGGTGCTTTGTAATTTGTATTTTTAGAACTTTGTAATTCTTTGATGAATCCCTACTCTTGAATTCTATAAGAAATCCATATCTATCTATATTTTGAAAAACGTTTTTCTGCTTAAGGCATCAGGAGTTGATTTTTGTTAGTTTCAAACCATATGGTCCTTACTAATTACCAACATAGTGTTGTTTGTAATCATCTGTACTTACTCAGAGCCTTGAAGAAAGAGAAAACACAATAATAAATAATAATTAATGAATAAATGAAGCTAATTATTGGATTACATGTCAGGAAACAATTTCCTGTTGTTATGTAAAAACTCAATAGTACTTAAATGGTATTTAAAGCAGTAACATTATTTTGCAAAATAGTAAGATGCAACAGTACAAGAAGATATCAATTTACTATAAAGATGTATATATAAATATATGTATACATATATACATGTATATACACAAATATATGCATATACACGTATTTAGGTATACATATATATACACATATATAGACATATACATGTATATATATAAAGATACATAAAAGTAAAATCATCTGGTGTGAGATTGATAAAATGTAAATTTCTTAGAGCCATCCCTAGAGACTCTTAGTCAATGGGTCTGCTAATTCTGACAGAGTTGCGCTGCACAAAGCTGGTGGAATCCTTACTATGATAATAAAGATTTGTGTGATAAAGTCCATTCTGTATGATAATTTATTCATATTTGAATGAAATAGTTGTTCCTAAAGGATAGGAATAATCATTATCACTTATACTTCATTTTTATCTAGAATCTTTTTGAAATTTCTTTTTAAAAAAGTATGTGGAAAACTAGCTACACTTATTAGTAAGAATTAGTAGCAGGAATATAATTTTGTGGTTAGCTATGTAGAGAGAGTTATTGAAGACAATTGCTCCCTCTAGCTAACCTCAAATGTTAGCAAGGGGTTCCCAACCGTTTTGCTTTTATTTTACTTCTAGGCAAAATAAAACAGAGTACTACCTTCTCAAATGAGTTCAGGCTCATTTCAAGGTTATGTATCAACACGAGCTTCACAAAGATTTAAATATTTACTTGAAAGTTTGCTTACCATCTGGTGTAAGATGAAGTTGTTGTTGTGAATAATCAGTAAAAATACTGAGGTTGAACTTGCTCTTAGCAAACAGTTGAAATGGAAACGCAGTAATGGGGCTCCAGATCTTTCCAGAATTAAGATTGTCGGCTGCATGATACATTTCTCTTATTCTGAAAAGTATATGGGGAAAAATTGCTTAGGACAAGGGCTGCATAATTTAATTTGAAAAATATCATCCGCAACATAATTGTAAGAGATTTCTGCAGTGTTTAGCTTCAGAAGATTTAAGATATGAAAACAACCAATTACTGATTTGAAATACAGTCCATTTAGACCAGATTGGTAGAGATTAAATTTAGACCAACAACAAATATAAAAAGGTTGTTCTTTGGGCTTTGCCAAGAGCACCTCATTTTGAAGTAATTAAGAGTTCATTTTCACAAACACAATATTACCGAGCTCAGAGGTGCTGGAGTCTCATTTTCAGGCTTTTAGTTTCTTTCTGTCCAGAACAAAGAACTGAGCTAAACAAGTATAAACGGTGGTAAAGTGTGTATTTATCAAAGGTAGGGGGAAATAGAAAACAGGCTCTACAGAGCAGGTTTGGGCCAAGTAAAGGTAGAGAAATGAAGAAAAAAATAATAATTGCCATAGCATATGTGGGCTGCTGCGAAAACATCACTGTGAGAGTTTATCGGCTACTTTGCTTTATTGTGTAGCTTCCATGCTGGCATCACATCCAGGTCAACCTCTCAGAAACCTATCGCGAATTCTCATGGGAAGTTAACATGCAGGGTTTTGGGTGGTTCTGCATAGAAACCTTCTTTCCCACCCAGTTTCAGGCACACCTGATCTTCCTACCTTCAGAAATAGAAGAATTCACTATGAATATTATTACTTGCATCATGTCCTTTGCTTTTGATGCCTGAATCTCTCCGCTCAGATTTCTCTAGCCTGTTTCTCAAGCTGTAAATCACTTGTTTTGATTGAGAAATATTGATAAATAAATTTTCTTTTTTGGGTTTGTGTTATAAACACTATTTTTGGTCCTCTGTATTTGTAATTTTTTTGTATTTTATACAAATACAAATAAAATAATATACAAATACAAATTGTATCTTATAACAAATTTATTGATAAACAAATTCTTGTTTTAGGTTAGTGTTATAAAAACTATTTTTGGTCTCTGCATTTTAATTTTTTATATTTTATAAAAATAACTAAATTTTATACAAATTATACAAATAATTTTGTGTATTTCATACAAATAAGTCATGAGTGCATTCTGAACAAAGACTTACTACACAAATGGGTCAATGGATTGCAGCTTCTCCGTGCAGCAGGAGCCCTGAGTGTGAATCCTTAGGCCGCCACTTAGTAATGTTATCGCCAGAGGCAAATTATTTGACCAGTTTCTTTGCACAAAAGAGGGTAGCAATATTTGCTTCAAAAGTTTTTATAAAAGGTTTGCAGCATGTTAAGCAATATAAAAGGATCATAATTATCATTATCTACCACCAAATCTTGATTCATGTTTTCTGCCAATATATAGAATATTTAAGAATAGATATTCAAAATGTGTTTGATGATGGAAATGGAACCTTGAGTTCTTTTACCATTAGTTATCTTGACATTTGAATTTTTCCTAACTTAAAAATTATACTTTCTATATGGATACATTGCATTCTTAGCATCTGCCTTTGTTCTGTTTGTGCAGTGCCAAAGTAGTGCCAGTCCTTGAAGGTGCTCAAATGCTACACTCTTTAGACTCCATGGAAACTTCCGGTCTCTGTGGAGCTTGATAAGTTGACAATGACATACATGAGAGTGACCTTTTGTTCTGGGTCCCACACCCATAGTTTCAGATTCAGTCTATCTGTGGAGGACCCCCAAACTTGTCTTTGTTGCAATTTCTCAAGTAAGCTGCTGCTACTGTTGCTCTGTCACTGTAGACTGACAACCACAGCTCAGGACAAAGCTGTAAACCACTCTCCCTTGTGACATCCTACCACAAAAGTCTAGATGGCAGTCTTGGGCAGAGGTAGAGGTATTTTACAAATTAACATTCACTATATGATAAGGTGCTATTCAATGCATATGTGATTTCAGGTTTTACCTTTTTGGGGAGCTACATTTTCAAATGCAATTTCATGACTCATTCTTTCCTACACGAATGCAGACATCTAATATAGATGGGGAATTTCTTCCACATATTATGGCCTTTTATTACATTTTTTGTTAGAATGTGACATATTTCTTGAAAGATACAATTTTAAAATATGTCAGGGCAAGAAACTATACTCCACTAGTTAGAGAAGCTCGACAGATATATATAAAAGAGATGCTAATAACATAGTGAAGTATATTTATTTATATATTATAAAAATACATGCAGTTAGAAATGTAAATCTGCTTTGTTATGATATTTCAGAAGTTTTGGGGAACCTCCTGTGAAACTTGACTTTCAAATTTAGTTTGTCCTTCTATGGTGCAAACAGTTTATGTGTAAAATAATTGTGCACATATAGATTCAATAATCTTATAAATTAATAATTTTCAACAGAATGTACTGTAGATCAAAGAACATGCTTGTAAATATAATTTGCAGCTTCTTGTCATTACTTCAAAGTTACTGTTTATACCTTTGTTTTAGTGTTCATGGTTATTTTTAAAGAAACCATTGAGAAAAAATAACTTTAAGTAGTTGGAAATGCACCATAAGTTACTAACTAGGCATTACAAAACTACTTTCATGTCCCAACAGCATTTCAGTGCTTCTTTAGGACTTTAAAATTGTGTTTTGTAAAACAGAGTTGCTGGAGGAGCTTATAATCAGGATAAGTGGGGTTACACTAAAGAGTGACATCTCCCAGTATTAAGAAAGCTGTTTCTCATGCTAAACAGGTAGAAATTGCTACAATAAAGTGGGAAATTTCTAGCAATGCTTGTAATTTTATTACATTAAACAGCGTATTCCTAAAAGAGTTGATAATAATAACTTTGAAGATTCTAATTTAGGAATCGAATGTACCATTTAAAATTTTCTTCTGTAAACCAGCAAGAGAGTAAAGATTGATGATTTTTATGAATTTAAGATAATTTGCTTTGTATTTTATGTGCTTGTCTTTATTCCTTGAATCTGAATTAAAGGTCTTTTGAAGCAGGGACCTTGCTTTTTTGCTTGTTTGTTTTAAATCTTGATATCTTTCATTCACAGAGTAGTTGCTAGATACAGAAATAGATTTAAATTAATCATGAAATAATTTACTCAAGTTTAATTCCAAATGATCACTTAGTAAGTTGAGGAGTATAGGTAAATATATGTTTGTTATATTCAGAATAATGACCATAAGTGGGTAAAAGCCAAAAAACCAAAATGTAAATAAATGCATGTAAATTTTCAAAACTTTCACATCTAGCAATACTATAGATAGCATTGAATAAATTTTAATTGCTAGTAAGAAATTATTATTTTAGAGAGCATCACTGTACTTTTATAAAATGCAAAATTAGCCAGTTGTGTGGTACAGCAATAGACAAATTTATTCAGGCTCAGAAACTTCAAGCTTTGATCAAATAGAATACTCACTTTTTCACTTTGCCACAAAAGGAGGCCAGGCTAACATTACTTCCTTGAGGTGCTTCGATGATTTGCATGGAACAATCTATTGGCTTAAAATAAAAATGGTTACATTAATATGATTCCCTATGGAGAAAAGATTAATGCAATTTTCCAATATTTATACTGTCTTAACGATTTTTTGATTTGTGGCTGAGGTAATACATATAGAAAAATTCACATTACATAAGTTTAAAATTTGACTTTGAGGAATACTTGTAGCTATGATACCAAAACTATGAACAAAGTACAAAACGTTTTGTACCTTAGAAAGTTCCCTCACGTCCCTCTCTATTCATTTCACAACCTATTTGGTGACACTTTCAGATTTCTATCACTGTAGCTTAAATGTATATATTCTGTTGATTCTGGCACCTATCACTTAAATAACACATATTTCCAAAGTTTACTGATACTATTATACATATAAGTATTTCAACATTTTTATCGAGGGTTGGGAACATTATCTTTGTTACTACTTCATAACATATTTATACACTTTTTTTCCTTTCTTTTTCTTTTTTGTGAGACAGAATCTTGCTCAGAACTTCAGGATGGTCTTGAACTCACTATCTAACCCGACCTGGCCTAGAGTTTGAGGTACTCCTCCTGCCTCAACCTTTTAACTACTGGGATTACAGGCATGAGCTATCACACCCATCTGACATTTCCCTATTGATGGACACTTGGATTATTTTTAGCTTTTGGGCATTGTAAAGAAATTTATTAACATTTATAATAATTAGTTGTGTGAATATTTGCCTCATTTTTTAATGTATACATAAATAGTTCAGTAAATAGATAGTTGGGTAAATATATGTTTGATGTTAAAAGAAATATTTTCTGTATTGTTATTTTTAAGCTGTGTTATTAGACACATATAAATTTAAACTTATGTCTTCCTGATCTCCCCTATCATCATTACAAAACAACTTTTTAATCCTAATAATATTCTATTTTGAACTGCACTTTTCTTAATTAATCACCACACAATGTTTCTTTTTCTAGCTGAATGTTCAAACCTTTTGTTTCCTTTGCTTTCAACCTATGTATGTGTTTTTTTCTTTCCTAAGAGTTTTTTGAAATGTAGTAAATGAGTTTCTGTTTCAAATTTGGAAAGGTGAGTCTATTTATGGTTAATATTTTTATAGAGATGGTGTATTTCAGGCTACCATATTTATGTCTGTTTCTGTTAGTTTCCTCTATTTTATTTTGTTCTATACTATTTCTCTTGGGCCTTTATGTTTATTTGAATTTTTCCTATTTCATTTAATCCCTCTGATGAATTTTTAGATTTTTTCCTTTGTATTGTTTTTTAGTGTAAAAGCTAGGTCTAGGAATTGCAACATGCAACTTTAATATATCCCAGTTCATTTAGAGTCACTACTGTACCACTGCATTTAAAGTATAAGAATTTCCAACAACAAGACCTATACAATAACCCTTTCATGCTTTCATCTTTGTCATGTAATTTTGCGTATATAGTAAATCCCCCAGTGATACGCTGTGATTGCATTTAGTCATCTGTCTTTCAAAAATTAAAGATAGCTTTTTGTATTTTCAACATACTTACTATTTCTGTCACTCTTTATACCTTCCTGGATCTCCCTTGATATTTTCCTTATCCCTGAAACATTTACTTTGTTACTATTTCACTGTGGGCATGTTAGCTGTCTAATTTATTTCAACATTCTTTGTATGTCTTTATTTCATTTTCAGTTTTGGAAATATATAAAGTAATCTTTATGACTCTTAAAGTATTTCTTATCAAGATCATTGAAAGTGTAGAAATAACTTTCTAATGTAAAGGCACAGGAAGACAGTTCTGACAAAATATTCAAATTTTACAGTACCAAAGACAATTTATTTATTTATTTATTTGGTACTGGGGATCAAACTCACAACCTCATGCTTGCCAGGCAGGGGCTCATGCCACTGAGTTATATCCCTGGTCTCCAAAGACAATTTTAATACATATGCAAACCCCAAAATGTCAGATTCAAAAATATTTTACTGGGTCTCTTAATGGTCAATGATAAAAAATATAGATGCCTGCTGCATTTATATTTTATTTAAATATCTACCAATAAACACCTTGCTAGCAAAGTGAACAAAATACTTACTGGTTTCACAAACATATTTTGCCCTGTAGTATTAAATTCCTAATTCTTTTACTATCTTCTCAAGAAATTCCACATAATCTTATAGGGGAAAGGATAGCTATTAAAAACTATCTTAAGTAACACTTATTGCTAGCTGTGTTTTCTCACTTCCTATTCTGTAATCAGAACTACAATTATACTTTCAAAAGCTAGCATAGATGTTAGTTAAACCACAGACAAATCCTCCTTGACTAGGTGTCTAAGGTTTATAAGGAATACTTATCAAGAACAAGAGATGTCTCATTTTGAAATTATGTATTTTGTTTGGAGTTTTGAGTTAAGAGATAAATGCTGGACAAGTGATTTTTTTCTACTGCTTCCAAAGACTTCCCAAAGTTTTAAAAAGTAAAGCTTAGTTCTTCTTTAAAATAATTCAAAAATGTAATTCTATTTTCTCTTATTTCCATTGTTCTTGATGAGAAGTTGCTTTCTTTCTGATCATAATTCCAATATTTGAAATCTTTTCCTTCTAGGAATTTTTTCTTTCCTTTTGAGTTTTAGATATTTGAGTACAATGTTTCTACATGTGATTGACTTTGTTTGGACAATGTCAACCAAATTCAAGAATTTTCTGACCATTAATTCTTCAAATTAAATTGTCTCTATGTTTTGTTTACTGCTAGCATTTAAGTTGCCCATGTATCATGCACCTTGCTTATCTCTGAATCCTTGTTTGTTTTCATATGGTTCTGTTATTTTTCTCTTCAGTATGGATAGTTTATATTGCTTTGCTCTCAAGTTTACCCCTTTGATCCTACCATTTCTGACATGTTGACTTTTTCACTACGATACTCCGAACTCAATGGTCTCTGTATCTCTTTAATTTTCTGTGTTTGTAATTTCTTGATGTGGGCACATTTACTACCCACTATGAGAATCTTTCACATTATGTACTCTCAGTCATGGCTTTAAAGTCCTTATCTGTTGATTCTAAAAACTGGCCTAACTCAAAGAGTCTTTCTGCTGTTTGAGTTATTTTCTTGATCATAGATCAAAATTCCCTTCTTTTTTACATATCTTTACACTTGCTGTTATGTATCCAGTACAATAGATGGCACATTGTGAACCGTTGTGTTTAAAAAACCAAGTGCTGAGTTTTTTCCCCCTTTAGCAGAGAGCTAACATCTACTTTAGCTTGTCATCCTTATTTCAATATTTTATTGAGTCTCATCCATTTTGGTTGGTGTAGTATTTGTTTTAGAGAATGACTTTTACTTTTAGGGTTTGAATTTGTGGAATTTTGTTCACATGCTAGAAGTGCTCTGCTCTGTCTCTTTTCTAGTTTTGCCATAACTTCTGTATTATACAACTGCTACACTGATAAAACCACCACCATTCCATTCTCAACCTGGAGCTGACAATATCCTTCTAGCCCTGCAGGCACACCCCATGTCTTGCCAACAATGTGTAATAAATTCCTTGTAGACTTCAGACCCCACTCAGCATATAGCTCCCTCTTCTGACCTGCAAGCTACAGCTACTTCTGCAGTCTGAAACTAACTGCAGCTCAATAACACTGCTGTGCAAATTGAGTTCTACTAGATTATACACAGCAGCAGGAAACGGCCTTCAGGCAGACACCAAGACAGGCACAAGTTTCACTTTTCTCAAGGATCAATGTCCTCTGCTACCTCTTATTCAATGCCTGAGCTCAGCTGCTTCATGTATAACGCCTGACTTTATATTTAGCAATAGAGTGATTTAGTATTGGATACACCATCATAAGATCTAGTTGTCCCTACCTTTTGACTTTTCATTCAGATCAGTTGTATTGCTACTCAATTACAAACACACTAGGTGTCTCCTGTGCATTCAACCTATCTGTTGCTTTACAGTGTTAATATTATTTACAAGTTAATCTGAGTCCTAAACTTTTTGTGAACTCATATAATCATGTTTTCTTTGTACTTATTTTGCCTAGCATACCACTTACTCCAAAGATTTGATAGATGGTTGTTGAATTTTTTTGGAATTCTCTGAAATTGCAGTTATAATAACATTTATTCTTTTCTACCATTTATTTCTAGTTTTTAAATGCAGTATAAGTTGAGACACCTTCAACTATTTTACTGGAAATTCGGTGATTACTAAGATGATTGGAACACTAGTAATGAAATCATCAGATTGATGTGTACAATATTCCTTAGTTTCCTTCTCCTGGAACAAACCCAACAGAAGTTGCCTTAATACAATAATACAATTGAAAAGTCTCTGGGTAAAAGAGCACTTTTTGTACCAGTAGTGATAATGATATTTTAGGTCATTACACTGTGACTCAAGTATAGATATATATATTATGTATTATATATAGTGTGCATTTGTATCTGTGCTTAACATAGCAAGAATAGAAAATACAACCTCAAACTATGATATTTTTATCCAATAAAATGTAAGTACTATAGTATTTTTAGTTTGATAAAACTGTACTTTAATATTTATATTTAAAAGTTGTTTTTATTCTCTGAAATAACCATTAGTACAATAACTTGACATTGAAAGTAAGTGAAAATTTTTCAAAAATAATTTTAGCAGATTTCTCATTTGTTATCCTTGTTGACAATTAATCTGATAGAGATGAGTGATTCTTTCCCATCCATATTTGAATATAATTTAATCATATTGTACATACCTCCATGTTTTCTGGCCATGTACTTTCCCTGCTTCTTGGTAGAAAAGAATCTTTAAAGAACTCTGGAGAAGGGTTCACAGTGTTCACATTCTCACCTCCTTTATTCTCATCTTTTGGCATGAAATCAGTTGAAAAGGATGAATATGCATGAGAAATACTGTTTTCAAATCCTATATGGTAGTTATGATTTTGACTTTTCAGTTCTCTTGGTGGATTCATTTTACCCAAATTAGTGCATGATGGATTTCCAATACTGAATCTAGAACGATCACTATCATGATACTTTCCTATTGAGGTTTCCCAAGAGCTTTGTTTATTCATCTCTTCTGGTTTTGGTAACACAGAAGGATTAAAACCAATAGGTGAAATTTTCCCACTTTGATTCCAAGAGAGTTCTGAGCTTTTAGAAAGGAAGTTATTTAAGGATATATGGTGTGTTCCAGGCAAAGAATGCCTTTTTGAATCCCAGTTTAGTTCACTGGGCACAAAAAAGGTGTTGTCTTCACTTTCTCTCTGATAGAGTGAGATTTTATTATTTATTTCGGTTACTAGCTGATCAAACCCCAGACTGATTTGGCTAGGAGAAAAGGATTGATTAACAGAGTGAAACTCTCCATGTTCATACTGTTTTTCAGGTGGTTCTTTGGGATTTAGAGCTGATTGCCAACTGTATGCCATTCTTTATTTTATATAACTGAGAGGATTGAGTTGGTTCCAGATAGCTCCTTGGTGACAGTGTGAAAGGGCAGATCTTTTCCTAGAAAAAAAGAGACATAAAAGGAAATAAAAAGTTTAATTAGCAATAAAGGGGTTAGAAAGCAAGAAAGAAAGAGAATTAGAAAGAAAGAAAGAAAGAAAAAAAAGAGGGAAAGAGAGAAAAGGAAGATATTTGGCGAATAAGACAATTTCCTGGCTACTATAAAACTACATCGTCTCATAGTTTTACAAATCTGAGGGAAAGTACTGACTTTGGAAGAACTCATGGAAACTTCTCTAATAGGAAAATAGGTCCACTGGTTCATAAATCTATCCAAAGTCAGTTCTCCTCTTTGAACTACCTTTCTACTACATATCCACTTGCCTATCACATGAATAATTTTGTACATAATATTATCTATAAATGCGTTCACATGAGAATGTATCTGTCTTAGTAAGCTATATAGTCATCTTGATTAACAAATATCCTATCAATAGGCATAATCAGAACTTTCTTTTTCCCTCTAAAAATGACAAGCTAAATCCCTTTTCCCCCAAAAGACTAATTGCAAAATCTTTTATTTACATCTTTAAAACTATTTTCGTTGTTTGTCAATCAGCTTTCTGTGATTAAATTCAAGTGGTTTTTAGTCTTTAAAATTTTTTATGTTTTATTTTGCTGCGAGCATTTAAGTTTTCTAGGCATTTCTTACCTGAAAATTTCTTGACTTATGTTGAGTCTTTGGGATACTGCTCTGTTACTTTCTTTTTTTGTTTTTTCAAACATTCTTTTACTTGTTAATTATTTTCTGCATAGTCCCTATCAGAGTTTATTGTCTTCTTAATTACTCTTACTGTAGATTGTTTCATACTTTCTGTGGCTTAAATTATTACCATCTATTGGTCAATTATTCCATCGTAGGTCACTTTTATTACATAATAACTACTCACTTTTTTTTTAATACCTCCAACTGGAAGTTTAAAGTTTAAATCATAATTCACCCAAGAACATGCCACAATACCCAGGTTCTTTGTGTCGGAAAATGGTCTGAACTTCTCAGTGATTCCAATGGGAAACTAAAGTTTCATTTTTAGATTTTTCCTCACTTTCACTGTGCCCTATCAGTGGATCCATCATTCTGTTTACAAAGCACCATAGACACATCTGGCCTCCGTCTTCCCCTCTCTACCACTGTGCAACCCTAGTTTAATCTTTTATATTTTTTAAGCTGAAATGTTGGATTGTTTCAAAATTGCTTCTGTATTTTCTGCAGTTTATTTTTTGTACTCTGTTCCTCATGTTCACACACTAATGTTATGTCTAAGACATTAACCAAATGTCTTTTCTAGGTATGGCTTTGCAGTGGCTCTGCAGCGTCTTTGGATAACACTGTAATTCTCAGGTGATTTGGGAGTTCCTCAGTGGCCCGGCCACACTCTGTCTGCTTGGTTTATGCTATTTAACCTCATTCTTTGCTCAATCTCCTGAGCCCGTGGCTCCTCAGAAAGGCTCGTTCTTTCATTCAGCATATGTCCAGGGTCTTACACTGCGTGCGCATTCCACTTCTTATTGGATAATCCTTTCCCATTATTTAAGATTGACTTAAAATAAAACTTCTTCAAAGGAACTTCTTTGAAATCCTTAAAGTAGGTTTAAATTTTTTTTGTTAGATATTTTCAAAATGTACAGTTCTCATTGCTTCTAATCGTCACACTTGTAATTACATGTGTACCATTTTTTCTACTGTTAAACATTTGCTTTTTACACATGCACTTGGTATCTACTAGTTTTCTTTATTCAGACAAGATGCTCATTTGTGTTTGTCAAATGTTTCAAAAATTTAAAAATTATAAATGAATTATGAGAAAATGAAAAATAACTGTATCACTTTCATGGATGTATTATAATTCTTACCAAGAATGAATATTTATGTTAAAGATAAAATTTATAAAGGATATTTTGATCATGTCTATCAAATACAAATCTCTGTTACCTTTTTCTTGCAATGGAAATTCATTTTATTGTACTGGCATCCGTGACTTTTAAAATTTATATAATCATTTGTAGCTTGAATGAATTAGATTTAATATTATTATTATTATTAATTATTATTATTATTATTATTATTATTATTATTATTTTGTGGTAATGGGGATTGAATATGAGCCTTTACATTGAGCTACATTTCCAGCCTATTTAAAATTCAGAGACCGAACATTGCTAAATCACGAAGTTGCTCAGGCTGGGCTCATTCTTGAAATTCTCTTGCCTCAGTCTCCTAGAGTGTGGGAATAACAGGATCATGTCACCATGCCTGGCTGGATTTATTATATTTTAAATATTCAGTGGAAAAATTGAACTAAATAATTTAAAAATTTTTTTAAAGAGATATGAATAAAAATTTCACAGAATGATTAACCAGAAAAAATATTGTTAAAATATCATTTGACACCATTTTAATAATTGAGTTACATAGATATATTGCACAGCACAAACTGCTTTTTCAGGAACTGTTTTTTTTTTTTTTTAAGCTACATGTTTACAGTGGAAGTTTTATATCCTTAAAACAAATTATACTTCTTCATTTTTCTCTCATGGAACTCAGACCTTTTAAGTGGATGTGACTGTAATTCTGACAACCAGAGCCAGTAGCCCATTTCCTTTTTCCTGAGTCTGACCTGCTCATCCTTATGTTATGATGGCAAATATAGCTGAATGAAAAAGTTTAACACTTTTGATAGTGACTAGGCCTTGATTTTTGTGGGTTTAATTTTTAAAAAATTTTCAAGGCCACCAGTGAAATTTTAAAGTAGAGAATAAGTGGTCTAATACTAAAATCAAAGATTTTAAAAAACTAGATCACCTTGTATTGTTCATAATAATAATCATAATAAGGCCTAATATTTTTGAGCCCTTACTCTGTACCTACATACATATATTTGCATGTATAAGTCCCCACATTAACCTGATTGATCCATGGTAATATTATAACTAAACAAATGAAAGGACTGAAGCACAAAAAGATGAGCTAACTTATTGAAGATGCCTATTTGTATTTCACAGACTAACCCTAAATGGAGATTTAGAAAAAGACACAAAGGTGAAATCCCACATAGATATGCTACCCAGTGCGCATCTGAATTTCAGAATTCAATACCACATTGACTCATCTCCACTATCTGTATAGCAAACAGTTAAAACTTGAAAATTTTATTAATAAAATTGTCTTTTATAGCATTGCTCAAATTCAAAATGAGTTTGAAAACTACATTAAAAATCTCATTATCACAAGATAAAGGAGAATAAGAAATACTTTTTCATATTGAAAATGTAATAAAAACAAAACCTCTTCCACATATCACTTTTAATATTGAATTTGGTGATTTTAAGATATGTCTAATAGTTTTAAATTTCCTCTATACCATCATAATCTAGAAGTTGGAATAATTTTTAGTTTACAAACAAAAATAATATTTAAGACTGTCCGGTAAATATTTATAATCTGCATTATAAAGAAATGTATTAAATAATTAAAAGTCATATACTTTTATTCTGAAGCAGAAACAGATATATAGTTTAGTAGCAATTATGGCATATTTGAAAGGGCATGGCTATCAGTTTTCAACTTAAGTAAAGCTCTTTAGGGTGATAGATAATATGCCTTGTAGGCAGAATCATGGCTTGCTGAATATTTTTAGGTTTTAATCTCTGGATACTGAATTCTAACAATTACATGGAAAAGAGAATTCAAGTTTACAGGGGAATTTTCTGATCAACTATTCTTAAAAATAGAGAGATTTTCCATTTGAACCAGTCATAAGGGCAGATAGGCAGTAGAAATGATCGAATAAATGGAATGTTTAAAAAATATTGGATATTTAAATTTTAAAAAGGTATACAGCAAAAGACACATTGTTATTAATCCTATTCAAAATCTTCCCTTCACTTTGAACACACTTCTCCCATACTGTTGCCTCTTTCAGAAACATTTCTGTAAGTCCTCTTTCATGAGTGTTTTTCACAGGTGGATTTAAAACATACAATGAAGGCTATTGTCCAGGGCCATCCAAGGGACAGGCTGGCATGCAAAACAATATAGTACAGTGTTCTCACCCATCCTGCTCACTGGATTCGACATGGCATGGCTATCAAGTCTTCCCTAAGGTCATAATGACCATGCCTGGTAATTGTTCTAAATAATTCAGACATCAAGGCAGTTAGGCCAGTGCATCTGGAGATCCATAAATGATAACTTATAGAATTTATTCAGAGCCAGTGTGGTAGCAGTTGCCTCTATCCAGCGTTGTGGGTTCAGTACCAGTCTGGACTACACAAGGCGTTCAAGGCCAGCCTGAACTATGTAAGGAGATATCCTGTCACAAACAAGCAAATCTCATAAATAAACAAACAAATAAGGCAAAAGAGAAAGTGGCAAAAATGATGGGACTGTGTGTTCAAAGTGAGGGGGATTATTTTGAGGGAGATTAATGCACCTTTTACTGTAATAAATGTTTTAATGGGAACTTTCTCATTATTGTGGATTTACATCTCTTATGATGGGAGAAGTGAAGCAAATTTATCTGGCTTTGAAGATGGAAGAAGACCTTATGCCAGAGACTGCGAGCAGCTTCTAGATTCTGGACCAGGTAGGAAGTGGATGCTCCCCTAGGGCCTCCAAGAGAGCCTGCAAGCCTTGTCACAGCTTGGATTGAGCACAGTGACACATTTCTCAGAATTCTGATTTAGGAGAGTACAATAAGACACATTTGTGTTGCTTTAAGCAAGTATAGTGGTGGTAATTTGCTATAGAAGCAGTAAAAAAATGAATAAAATATATCAATTAGACATTGCTTCCTAACTTGATTGGGCAATCAGGGACAAGAAAATGTTAAGAGAACTTACACACACACACACCTACCCACACACACACAGCCTCTCTCCTTTGCTGGAAAAATTCATATATATTTAGAAAAGCAAATGC